TTCAAAACTCATTCTATGAAACTAGCACTGTCCTAATACCAAAACCAAAGACACTACAAAAAAAAAAAGAAGAAAATTACAGGCCATAAACCTTGATGAACACAGTTGTAAAAATATTCAATAAACTATGAGCAATCTAAATTCAGCAATATATTAAAAGGATTATACTCCATGATCAAGTGGGATTTGCTCCAGGGATGCATGGAGGCTCAACATCTACAAATCAATCAAGGTAATATACCACATTAACAAAACAAATGATAAAAGTCATGTGACCATCTCAACAGATGCAGAAAAGGCATTTGACAAAATTCAACATCCATTCATGATTAAAACTCTCAACATAGTGGGAGTAGAGGGAACATACCTTAACATAATAAAGTCATATGTGACAAACCCACAGCTAACATTATACTTAACAGTGGAAAGCTGAAAGCTTTTCCTCTAACATCAGGAACAAGACAAGGAAAATCACTCTCACAACTTTTATTCAGCATAGTATTGGAAGTCTTAGCTAGAGCAATTAGGCAAGAAAAATAAATATAACATAACCAAATTGGAAAGGAAAAAGTAAAATTATCACTATTTGCAGATGACATGATACTCTGTATAGAAAACCCAAACCTATTTCAAAAAGATATTAGAACTATTAAGTGAATTCAAAAACATTGCAAGATACTGACTCAATATGCAGTAATATGTTGCATTTCTATACACTAATAATGAACTATCAGAAAGAGAAATCAAGAAAACAACCTCACTTACAATTGCATCAAAAAGAATAAATATGTAGGATTAAATTTAACCAAGGAGGTGAAAGGCCTGTACTCTGAAAACCATAAAACACTGACGAAAGAAACTGAAGAAGACACAAATAAATGGGAAATTGATTAACATGCTTATCAACTGGAAGAATTAACATTGCTAGTGGCCATACTACCCAAAGCAATCTATAGATGCAATGCAATCCCTATCAAAATACTAATGGCATTTTTTACAGAACTATAACTGATAATTGTAAAATTTATATGGAACCTAAATACATCAAACAGCCAAAGCAATCTTGTGAAATAGCAAGACTGGAGGTATAATGTGCCAGCATTTCAAGCTATACAACAAAGCTAAAGCAATTAAAACAGTATGGCACTGGTGCAAAATGGACACATAAAACAATGGAACAGCACACAGAGTCCATAAATAAGCCCATGTTATATGACCAATTAATCTATGACAAAGGAGGCAAGACTATACAATGAGGAGAAGACAGTCTCTTCAACAACTGACACTGAAAAAACTTGACAGCTGCATGCAAAAGAATGAAACTGAATCACTTTCTTTCACCATACACAAGAATTAATTCAAAATGGAATAAAGACTTATATATAAGATCTGAAGCCATAAAATTCCTAGAAGAAAACAGGCAGTAAGCTCTTTAACATCAGTATTAGACATATTTTGAATTTGTCTCCTCAGGCAAGGACAATAGAGAATAAGTAAATAACTGGACTATAAACTATGGAGCTTTTGCACACAAAAGAAATCTCAAGAAAAGAGAAAGACAACATACTGAATGGGAGAATATATTCACAAATGATATATCTAATAAGGAAATAACATTGAAAATATACACCTAATATCAATAAAAGGAACAATCTGATTGAAAAAAATTGGGCAGAGAACTTGAACACACATTTTTCCAAAGAAGACAAAAAGATAACAAGCAGGGGGAAAAGATTCACAACATCACTAACCATCAGGGAAATGCAAATCAAAACCACAATGAGATACCACCTTGTACTTGCCAGAGTGGCTATAATCAAAAAGATAAGAAATAACAAGTGTTGTAAAGATATAGAGAAAAGGGAACCCTCATGCACTATTGATAGAAATGTAAACTGGTGTAGCCACTATAGAAAAGAGTATGGAGGTTCCTTAAAAATAAAAAATAAAACTACCATACAATCTAGCAGCTCCACTTCGAGGTATTTATATGAATAAAATGAAAAAACTAATTTGAAAAGACATACATATATGTTCATCACATCATTATTTACATTATTTTATGAGAGCATTATTACATAGCCAAGATATGGAAGCCATCTAAACATCCATGAATAGATAAATGGATGTGCATGCACACATGCACACACAAACACACCCACACAATGGAAAACTACTTGACCATAAAAAAGAATGACATCTGGCCACTTGCAACACATGATGGAATTACGCTAAATGAAATAAGTCAGAAAGAGAGAGACAAATACTGTATGATTTAACTTAAATGTGTGGTTTCCAAAGAGCTAAACAAATATACCAACAAAAACAAACAAAAATCACAGATACAGAGGACAGAATAGTAAAGCAGAATGGAGGGTAGGTGGGGAGTGAGTAAATAGGGCAGAGGGGGTTAAGAAGTACAAACTTTCAATTATAAAATAAATAAGTCTTGGGGATGTAATGTGTAACATCATGACTGTAGTTAAAACTATTATACTTGGAAGTTGCCAATAGAATAAATCCTGAAAGTTAACTTTGTATGGTGATGGATATTAACTAGATTTGCTGTTGATCATTTTGCAATTTATACAAATATTGAATCATGTTGTACACCAGAAACCAACATAATACTATATGTGTATTACTGATAGATAGATAGATAGATAGATAGATAGATAGATAGATAGATAGATAGACAGATAGATGGATACATAGATAGATGTACAGGAAGGGAAGATCTTTATGGAGAAAGAAAATGAGTTCATTTAAGGCTATGTGGGTTTGATTTAACTATGTACCTTTCAAGTGGGGAATTTAATGCCTGAATCTGGAGTGAGAGACATAGGTCAGGATAGGATTTTAGATTAGATTATGGAGCAATGAGCCATGAGTAGTTCAAGTAGCTGATATGGTATGTAGAAGCATAGGTGTTAGAGTCAGTGGGACATGGGTTTGAATTCTCACTCTGTCACTTAACAGCACTGTGACTGAGCAAATGCTTTAATTTCCCTGGTCTTCAGTTTCTTCACCTATAAAATAGATGTAGCAGCTACCTCATAGAATTATTGAAAGATTAATTACATGGGATGTTTACTTTTTGTCAGTTTTCCATGCATTATCATATTTAATCAACAGAGCTACATGTGTGTTTCATACAAATATTAATACATGTATAAATATACACACAGAGATAGGCAGATAGATTGCCTTATAACATTATCAGTGTGTTCTCAGAGAAATGTATTTAGGGTGCCCACTACAAGGCCATTCAAGGAGCCTCCTCAAGCAGAAGAGTCAGGAATTAAGAGTGGGCACTCCTGATCTATTCTTCTGTTTGTAGTTGGTTTCCCACATTCCTTAACACTAAATTCATTAAAACTCCAAATTCTATAAAACTTAAGCCCTCAAGGTGAGGACATTGTTGGATTCTCTTAGATATTTGTTTGCCATTCACTCAGGTCCTTCTCCATTTCTCCAGCCAAAACAGGTCTTCAGATTTATTTTTAAAGTCAAGATTGATATTTCTAAAAGTTGCTTAGACATGCGTGTGTGGCTCTTTTAAGCTGGACATTTATGCTCTGCTAAAGTACCCAGGACTATGGGAAATTGAGGGAAATTCCTTTAAACAGATAGCAAAGGAAATGCAAAATTAGTGAAAAGATAATTTCAGTCCTCACCTTAGAGTAATAGTCCCAGAGCTATTGGGTTAAGAATAAGCCAAGCCCATCAAAACAAAAAAGGCAACTTACTGTATGGGAGAATATACTTGCAAATGATATAGCTAATAAGGGGTCAATATCCAAACTATATATGTAAAGAACTCATACAACCCAATACCATAAACACAAGTAATCCAATTAAAAAATGCACAGAAGACTCAAATAGACATTTTTCCAAAGAAGATACACAGATGGCAAACAAACACATGAAAATGATGCTAATCATCAAGGAAATGCAAATCAAACCATAATGAGGTATTACCTCAAACCAGTCAGAATGGCTACTCCCCAAAAGACATGACACATAGCAAGTGTTGGTGAGGCTGTGGAGGAAAGGGGGCCCTCCTACTGTTAGTGGGAATGTAAACTGGTCTAGCCACTGTGGAAAACAATATGGAGGTGCCTCAAAAAACTAAAAATAGAAATACCATTCAACCCAGCAATCCACTTCTAGTAATTTACCCAAAGAAAATAAAATCACTAATTAGAAAAGATATATGCACAGCTATATTTATTGCAGCATTATTTACAAGAGAAAAGATATGGAAACCACCCAAGTACCCATCAATAGATGAATGGATAAAGAAGTACATATATACAGTGGAATATTACTGAGCCTTAAAAAAGGAAAAGATCCTGCCATTTTTTGACAATATGGATGGAAACAGAGGATATTACACCAAGTGAAATAAGCCAGACAGAGAAAGACAAATACTGTATGATTTCACTTATTTTGGGGATGTAAAAAGCAAAACAAACAGCAAAGAAATAGTCCCATAAATATGGACCAGACTATGTTTACTGGGAGTTGGGGTGGTTTGGGTGAAATAGATGAAGGGGATAAAGAAGTACGCACTGCAATTTGCAAATAAGTTGGGTGTAGAATGGAAGAACAACATACAGAATATAATCAATAATATTATAATATCTTGACATATAATAGTGTAATGACACTTATTGTAGCAGCATCTAGTGATACATGTAATTACTGAGTCACTGTGTTGTACATCTGAAACCAGTATAATATGTACATCAACTTTATTCCAATTAAAAAAAAGAAAAAGCCAAGCCATTTGTCCTGCGTCTCCAGCTCAACAAAATCTAAAGCTGTCAACAGAGTAGACAATTCATAACATTTTCTAACTCTAAAGAATGTTTATTAAAGTATAAACAAAGTTCAATCAAAATTTATTTAGAAAAATCATAGATATACCCACCAGGTGATTATTCAAAATTCTACCTCATAAATCTACATAAGAAAACTTTTAATATATGCTTTACCTTGGTCATTACTCTTTGGAATCTTTTGCGTTCAAGCCAGCCTCTGATATATGCCTGCATGACAGTGATCATTTTAACTGTTTTTTTGGTGATTTTATGTTTTTTCCTTTCCTGGAACACTTGGAAGATTTCTTTGTGTGGTCCAGTTCTTCTAATTTTATTGTCAATGTTAGCACTTTTATTTTGCACATTTATGTTAGCACAAACAGATTTCGTCCTAAAAATAAAATTTAAAAAATTTATTATAATTAATAAGAACAATAAACACTCCTGCAAAACCTCAAATTCATTTCAGTGACAAACATATTGAAATAGGAAGAGTATTATAATTTGTACATAGAACTCATGTGCATCACCTGAATACGTCAATAGGGTGGCTATGGCAGAATCAATGTAATGTATAAAATTGACCTTCTTAAGAAAACCCAAAAGAGAGTGAATTTGTCATAGCCTAACCACAAGTATTCAAAAGAGAGAGATAGTATCTAAGGAACAAAATATTTTCATATAACAGAGCAAGTTAGTCAAGATAATTTCCTATCCCAAAAGCTATTTTAAACTAAAGAGGACTTCAGACTTATTTGGCACTTGATACTCTGCTTCTCAAACAACACCTGAAAAGTAATTTTCATTTCTGTATGTTCTCAACTGAGAGTCAGGATAGTGTACTGGTAAGGTCACAGACTACAGAACCACAGAAGCAAGCGATCGTAATGGAGACAGCGACCAGCCCTGCAGCGTGGATATGGATGGTCTTTGCAGGGATGATAAACATGGAAGAACCCTGCAGACTTTCTACCATGAACAGACTGCCTATAACCTTGATCTTCTGTCTGCTTTTGTCCTTTATATAGGGTAGTCTTTTTTTTTTTTCCAGTCTTGCAATGACCAAAGTCTAGTTTCCTTAAAACTTAGCATACAAAAGTCCTTTCTTTCTTCTTAATTACTTTTATTTCTGCATCTTTTTCATGGTTGAAGTTGCAATGAGATGCCCAGGTCAATTCACACACCAGAATTGAACATTCCCCTAAAAATTTCACTGTATACATACTTTGAATCCCAGGCCCAAACTTTTTAATTCTCAAAGTGAATACCAGCAACTTCTGTTTCTGTGCTTTTTTTTCTCTGAGTCTGTTTTGATGTCTGCATTATGCTGGTTCTTGAAGGGTCCTCTTCTGCTTTGTACACAGCCATTATTTCTCTTCCCTTAGTGACTGAAGCATTGGGAGTCTGATTTTGATCATTTGACCCAGCCATCTAGTCTCTGTTGGGTGGTAGAGGACATAGAATCCCAGTTCTTTTTTATCTGTCTTTCTGTTAGTCTTGAAGCTTGTGGTATATCTTCTTATATCTATATTGTATGTCATTTGAACACCAGTACAGCTAAAATCATTCAGGAGATAATTTAGAGCATACTAGAAAGGAGATAACTCCAGATTAAGAGAATTCATAACAAGTATTCTTTGGAGATCTTTTTTCACTCCCTGACCTTCCTACTCCCAAGCAGTCACAACTGACAAGTGAAATGAGGTGAGCACAGAAAACTGTCCCATATTTGCTTCTGATTTACATAGCTAAAGATGTAGAACTAAAGGTGTTATTTCTCTTTGTGATTGTGTGTATAAATGAAATTTCCTTCCAAATGAAATGACAGGAAGTCAGCCTTATACAAGGCTCTTGAAACTGTAGCTCTTTTGTATCTGTGGCTGGTTCTTCCTCTCATTCTCTCTCTTGCGAAAACTTTTTTGGGTTAATGAACCAAAAATATATCATTTTGTGCTGTGGAGAAATATCTTATTAAATAGACAAAGCTACCATTAAAGTCAAGGAAAATGAAGCATGTTTCTCTGTTTAAATTAAGACTGATTTTGAATAGTTTAGAAAAGGGGGAGCTCTGCCTTCTCAGAGGCTTTGTGCTTGGTTAATGTAATAATTTTTATGAAAGGGACTTGGTATATGAGATAAACTGGGAGTACAGATGAAATGGAAATTACTTGTGGTCTGCCTAGAGTTTCAAGACCTATTGTGAAATCTGAGTGCCTGATTTTTTCTTTCTCTCAGAAGAAATAAGAGAAGTGTTACAGAAATCCCCAAATGAGCCAAGTTTACATACATAGTTCAAAAACATTCTAATAACAAAGTATAAATAAGTTTTAAAGTGATATGTGTGATTGATTGTAAGGTGATATGTGCATTGAAGCGCCAGCAGCGGTTACTAGAGCACTGCTCGTCTCCTTAATTGCCTTGAATATCACAGAGTTCTTAGTCACCTACTGAAAAGTGTGTGTGTGTGTGTGTGTGTGTGTGTGTGTGTGTGTGTGTGTGTGTGTGAGACAGAAAAAAAAAAAGGAATGAAATTAGTTATTTTAGGTAAAAGCTATAAAAGCTATAGTTGGTATGAGTTTTTGCAACTAAAGTAAGTAAAAGATAAATTTAGGTCAATTTTAATGAGCTTAATCATGAACTACAGAAATGCTTGTAAATCCTAGACTATAAAACGTACATAGGTAGTATACAAAAAGAGTTAGATTATAATTTGATTTACATGTTGACAAGCTGATTTTGAATACATAGTCTGCTCTTAATTTGACAGAGTAAAATTTATTCAGTGCCTTCAAATATAGTTTGCCTCAAAAACAAAAGTTCTTTATATCACAAGAATATTCCTTTTACCATGATTATGAATCTTTTTTGCTTCTTTGTGATTTCCTTGCAAAATCTGATATTCCTAATATTTAACATTACTTGAAGGTGCATTGCTTTTTTTTTACTCTAAGTCACCTATGACCTTTGCTATACATGTCTCCTCTGACAATTCTTTCCAATATTGTTCTTCCTAAATTCAAGCCCCAAATTTAAAAACAAACTGTTATGATGTCTTTTTAACCTATCTTTTGGATATCCCAGATGTCTACAAGACCATACCAAAGATTTTCTTCTTTACTATATACAGAGGGATGCTAGAAATCATAAGGTATGTTTGGCACAGCTGTTGGAAAAATGAGCCAAAGATGCCCTTGTATATTGGCCTCCATGTTGTTTACTTTTCTAAGACCATTAGCTTCAAAGCCTACTGGCTCCAAACCCAAAATTCTTAGACATCCAATTGTTTTAAATATGGCCCAAATAAGCATATTTTTAGCCATTTAGAGACTGCTTTGCATATCCCACAAAACTGCAAACAGCATCTGCTAGCCGTAGATAAGCCAACTCTGGAGCTACAGGAGACCCCAAGCCACTCCTGCTCTTCAAAGCTGCCAGCCCCACAGACGCCCACCTTGCTGCTGGGTGGTGACACCTGGCCACGTAACGCTCGCCCTGACTCCCCTCTCCCACGGGAGTTACCTTACCCTCTTCTCCTTCTAGGCAGTGGCTCTATGTCCTGGCCTCCGAAGGTCTTCTCCTGTGAGGGACTCTCGTGCAGAGCTGTCCCAGTGATGCCCAAATAAAGCCTGTTATGAGTGAGCTATTGCCATCTTGTGGCCATGTCTCCTCCTTGATCAGCCCCAAGATGCTTGAACTCATTACAGTGGTCCATAGTTTTACATAACTCAGCACTATATTGATAACTGTCCTATTTATCAAAGTCCAAATTATGAAAAGGTGTGCCTAACTGAATAAACATACAGCCTCCATAAGTTAAATATATAATGCCTAAAATATTAATATAAATATATTTTAATATAAATGTATTCAAAGGATCCTGTGGTAAACTGATTATGCTGATGGCCAATGCCACCATATAAGCCTATCTTCACAATGTGATTTTACAGTTCCACTCATCAAGAGGTGGAATCTTTCTACCCACCTACGAATTTAGGTTGGCCTTGTGAACTGTTTTGGCCAAGAGCCTCCCATGGAAGTGATGCTGTGCCCATTGTCAGTATTTGCCCTAAGAGGTCTTCCTCACACTTGCCCAAAGCCCCTAATATTCATGTCCCCAGCAGGTCCATTCTAAGAACCCTGTGTCTTTACCAGAACAAGCTAGAAAGCCTCTAAAGGTGAGAGACCTGTATGGAAAAGAGACAAGTTACACACATTTGAATGAGTCTGGTGCTATCAACTAGTCTGGACCAGCATCTGAATTACCTCATGAAAAACAAAAGTTGTTTTAAGCCACTCAGGTTTGTGATGTTATTACAGCAAAAGATAACCGATACGCATACTCATGTTTATACTCAAAAGCAAATACAGTAACTGCCAAATTGGTATTTTTTACATTATATTTCAGAAGTAAATTATTTCTGTCAAGTAGTGGGATAAATTTTTTAAAGACTTGGTTTGTCAATGTCCTTACTATGAAGTATTTCAAGGTAATCAAAGACTACATACTTATGGGATGAATATGGATGTTCTTATCAGGGACTCTGTTCCTCTCCACTCTGATATTGTTGGTTATCATAGAAAACGTATATGAAATATGTATCATGCCATTCAGTTATGTCCCCTACAGGTAGCGTCTGCCTTTCTTCACACTTGCTAAAAGCCCCTAAGACAAGTTATAATTCATAAGTTGTATCTTCTGAAAGAAACATCCAAAGAATGATAGCTTCATGAGGAATGCATTTTTTAACAATTTATAGTAGAAGAAAAAGACTTAGAAGTACAGGTTTCTCAATTTAAACTGATATCATAACCATGAACCTGCTGTGACTCTTTTCATACAACTTTATGTGGTAGTCTGCTTACTCCAAGACCAGCAGAACAAAAATTAATTATCTAGGATTGAATAAATGGATTAAGTTATGATTAACATTTACTTTTAATAAAAAATATGAGAAAACTCCCTTTCTTGGTGAAGATCTACTTATAGATTTTAACTTATTTGGCTTTAGTTTTACAAACTGGAATGAAACATCCTAATGGCATGTAAATGGTTCCAACTAACCCCTCAGAACTCAAGAAAAAGAATCCTAGTGAAAATGTTAATATAGATCATAAGTTGTGAAATCATCAGAATTAATGATTCTATAGAAATTAAGACCACATATTATTTTATCTGCAAAACAATGTAGCACAAACAGTTAAATATAAAGATATGCTGGTTGAGTTCATTATATGAGTATTTATAAAGTTTTAGTAAGAATCACCATTTTTAAATGTTTTTGAGACTATTTTTCATCAGTGAAAATAAACCTCCAGTAAAGATATTAGACCGACTGCTTGCAAAGCAAGTATGAAATTCAAAAAACAAAAGTAGTAAAATGAACTATACAC